ACTTGTATGACTTACATTCTTGCATCAGTGTTGTTTTTGTTAACTAAAACTACTAAAAATTATTTTTCCTATTTGAAATGAGCTGAAATAAAATGTAAATATTCAATAGAAAACTTTAAAAACATTAAAAAAATAGAAATGTTGCCTTAGCAACTATCTTAAGTTTAATTACTAATATTAATAAAACTGAAATATAAATAAAAATAAATGAAAGCTAAATAGAAATAAAACAAAGTAATAAAATGATAAAAGCACATAATAAAGTTACTAAAATGTGGACTGTGAAAAACGGAAATATAAAAATAAACGCTAATTTAAAATACTAATTAAAGCTATAATAGTATACGAATAATATGAAATAATGTTGAAAATATCACACTATTTTTAGTCTTATATTTAAAAATGTATTTTTATATATTTTATAAATATATTTTATATTAAAGTGCCCCTATTATGGGTGATGAAAGGTTCATATTTTGGTTTTGGGAGTCCCCAACAACAGGTTGACATGCATGCAAGGTCAATAAACACTTTCATTGTCTTACAATATGCATTTATTTTTACCTTACTTGCTCAAGACTCCCAAACGATTTGCTCAACGATTAATTTTTCCAAACCCCTCCTTTGCGTGACGCTAATCTGCGGTGATTGGTCCGATTGGTCTCATTTTCATTTCATCATGCCAGTAATGCCTGATAAAGCAGCGTTTGTGAGCGCAGTGCTGCTTTGTGTACAGCATTACCGGGGAAACCGCTATTTTACCGCTCCAAAAGCGGCACCTAGTGGCAAAGAATGAATTTGCATGTTCATTCAGACCAATGCAAAAAGACCAACAAGTGGGCGGGCAATATGCTAATGTTTCATGTTGAAGTCAACATGAAACGGCTTGGGATTCGTTTTAAAAACTACTCGCTTCAATGATTCAGAGTCAACTCTTTCTTTTGAGTGACAATAACTTTATACACAGTGCACTTTCAGATTGAAATCTTTGCAGGATGTTTTCATTCACTTAGAGCTGTGTTACACACTGCATGAAAGGTAATTTTCAAAAATCCATAATAGGGGCACTTTAAATAAAATAAAGTTTTTTTTTTAAGTCATTAATTATGAAAATCTTGCCATTCACTTTCATAACATGAGCAATTTGGATTTTGTCCTTCCAGTGATACAGGTTTTCAAACACAATTTTTATTTTTAGGTGAACTGTTCCTTCTAAGAAAGACAAAACCCACCTATACACAAATAATAGATTCCACAGGTTTAAATTTGACCTGGCTAAATTTGTCTTTTGAGAATGCGGAAAGTAAATATCACAAGTATCTCACAGACTCAACCTGTGAACACAGTAAAAGTCAAGAATGTGTGACATGAACCGTATTTACTCTCCTCCTGCCTGCAGGACCTTTTTGGTCTTTGACGGGCCTGATTTGATTTGGCAAAACAATTCAGGAGCCTATCAGTATTCCACACAAAGACGACACGTTGAGTTTGGCGACCTGCACCGGGAGACTGTAATTCTGTTACCTTAGAGCTGCTTGTTGGGGGTAAAGTAACTACTTGAGCAAGAAGAGCTCCAAGAGTCAGCCAGTTCTCACTGGACGCTCATGCATCTCATCTTTCTCGAGCTGGCACGTCTTATTTGAATCACTTATTGTTTTCGGAGGAATTGATGGTCTTCGTGAAATGTTCCCAGCGGTTGGTTTCCATGACCTTTCCCCTCTACCACAGGTGGTTGAGACTTTAGATCCAAAACACACTGACATCTTCTCTATCTAAATAACCAGATGAGAATGAAATCAAGTTATCCGTCAAGACAGAAAGGAATTGCAACCCAAGTGCTAACACAACATTGATCAAGTCTTAACATTTTTCTCACTGCAGGCATCCAGGGCAGTGCCAAAGACAAACACTGCTTTTGGAAGAGATATCATGATCGCTGTTACAGTTCACACATTCAGCGTAACTTTATACATCTTGGAAAAATGTTTTTTAGTCTATTATTGAATAAGACAGGAAAACAATATTGGAATTTTCCCAAGAATAGTGGGAGACGGCCAAAAAGTGGGATAATTAAGATCTTTTACTGTTTTTTGAAAGAAGTCTATTGTGCTCACCAAGGCTGCATTTATTTGATCAAAAATACAGTACTGAAATATTGTGAAATTTTATTACAATTTAAACTGAAGAGTTTCTATTTTAATATATTTAAAAATGTAATTTATTCCTGTGATGCAAAGCTGAATTTTCAGCATCATTACTCCAGTCTTCAGTGTCACATGATCTTTCAGAAATCATTCTAATATGCTGATTTGCTGCTCAAGAAACTTTTTTAATTATTATCAATTTTGAAAACAGTTTTTGCTGCCTAATATTTTGTGAAATCTGTGATACACTACCATTCCAAAATTTGGGGTAAGTGAAGAAATCACGTTGAGCGGGGCAGTGCAATTGCTTTTGTATGCATGCAGGCTTTTTTGCTTTCACTTTCGAAGAATAAATTACATTTTAAAAGATTATTAAGATTAAAAAAACATTATTTTAATGTTTTAAATCATATTTTACAATATAACAGTTTTCGCTGTATTTGTGATCAAATAAATGCAACCTTGGCAAGCAGAAGAGACTTTAAGAAATCTTAATTATTCAAAACTTTTGGCTGGCAGTGTAAGATCTAGAGAGAATTCTGCAATTATATAAATTATTATGTAAAGTGATTTTCAACAATCCCATAGGTGTACGCTACTCTAATGCATCTAATCTAACATTGTCTGGATAATCATCAAGTATTTCACGTTTTATAAAACGTACATTCTATCATATCCCCCTAGAGTACATCCCCATACATCAGGACAAAAACTCTTTAACACACATCTTTGCTGCTAACGTATGGCCATTCATTTAGCAAACGCTGGAAGGCATCCAGGGCACTGGGGACACGGCTTCGTCATTCAAGCAAACACAATGGTTCCCTTTCTAATGGGGTCCTAAAGTGTTACGCAGACTTGGCCTTCTCATTCTATAGCCATCAGAAGATGACTCATAGAGCAAAAGAGAGAGAATCAGTGAAGTTGATGATGAGAGACGCACCATGACTACTAATGCCACGCATATCCGTCATAAGACAACGGCTAGGTCCCAAAATCTAATGAGATGACTACTTAGACAGCATTTCAGACACATTAAAATTAAAATAGGCAAATTAAAATAATTGCACTAAAGCCAAATAAATATATTAATATAAATTAATTAATATATATTACTTTATATTTACATCATTTAAAAAAAAAAAAAATTCTTTAAGACAAACGTTGAATTTCCCCTTAAAGCTATTTTTGTAAGGGCATGTGTGACCTCTAATGGTTGCGTGGAAATGTGTGACCTTGTGTGCTTTTGTGCATTGCATTCAGTGCAATAAGGCTCAAACTAGGCTTTCATATATTCTATATAGAGCAATTTCTCCTTCATTATCCATTTTTAGCTGCATTTGATACTCTGAAACACAAGTGTACAAAGGATGATGTACAATGTCAGTGTGCAGCAGTAGATGAGTGTTGATTTAAGACACACCCCCTAGCTTAAAGCAAAAAACCCAAAAAACTGGATCATCTTACAAACCTGTGATCCTGCACGTACAATATGCACTTCCATTGTCTATAAGCAATGTCATGGGACACTGGTTTAATGATACATTTAACACAACAGCTTATTAATTATTACTAACAAATGTATACAGTGTTTAACAGGTCATTAAGGCCAATTCAAATAGTGGGAGACTAAAATTCATATACTGTATAATCACACAGTGGCCACTAAGTAGTATTTGGATACTTAATTGATACTTATAAAATATACATAATTGTATTAGAAAACAAAAGATCAAACTCAATGGCATCTGATTAATAATGCTAAAGCTTTTCTCAGTACAAAGTTTACTGGGCAATTTTGTCTACATTTTTAACAGTCTATATATTGCTTTAGCATTAAAAACCAACTAATCACCTTTAAAACCAAAACTTTGCTTGAAATGTGTTTTAGATTAATGACACTTGATTTGATGCTTTGTTTTGTTATTAATGCAATAACATTCAGATTTTTAAGGTACAGACCGATACTGTTTACCGATATTCATGTCTTTACTTAATCATTTATTAATTCTTTAATATAATGACTACCAATCAATGGCACCAAAACAGCACCTATTACATCATGGGATATTCAACAGGAAACAACACTGTTCACAGGTGATACCTTACTATTTTAAGATATTATTTGCATATGCAATTTTTGTTGAAGGACTGAGCAACACATAGCATTTTAAAATTACTACTACTTATATATATTAGTGCTGTCAAACGATTAATCACGATTAATCGCATCCAAAATAAAAGTTTTTGTTCACATAATATACGTGTATATTGTGTATATTTATTATGTATATATAGATACACCCACATGCATGCATATATTTAAGAAAAATATGTTGTTTATATATTAAATATATATTATATATAATATAAATTACATGAATATAAATATATACATGCAAATATTTTCAAAATATATACTGTATGTGTGTGTGTATTTATGTATACATAATAAATATACACAGTATTCACATTATATATATATATATATATATATATATATATATATTTATTTATTTATTTATTTATTTATATGAATGCTTCTTAAGTGTCCAAAAGTAATGAGCCTCTTATGTTTTCAAGGTATTCATATCACACATTTACATATACGCACATGCATACAATTATGTATAATATATACATACATATAATAATACTACTGCATTCTAAACTATTTGTTAATGATATGAACAGTAATTTCACCCGTCATTAAGAGATATGCTTGGCAAAGGCAATGAATGAGTCAGTTCAGACACACAGGAGGTGTCCTCCACCGTGAAGTGACGTCACGGGGAGAGAGGGGGTGTCATCTGAAGGGATCTGAATGTGCTGCAGAGAGTCATCAAGACGTCTTACCTCCACCATTTTTGTAGCACAGGTACGGGAAGCGCCAGACGTTCCCCAGCCCCACGGCGAACCCCACACAGGACATGATGAAGTCCATCTGTCTGGTCCACGTCTCTCGCTCGGGGAAGCCCTGCTTCTTCTCCGCCGCCGCCGACGATATGGCTCCAGCGGCGGCTGATATGGGCCCGCCGTTGAGGGTCCCATTGACGCCTTGATGCGTGTTTCCATTGGGAATGAGATGGCCCTTCTTCTCCTCCACCAGGACCGAGTTCAGGGCGCAGCAGTCTGCGTCCAGAGAGGATTTCTCCATCTCTCGTGTAAACAAAGCAAACGAACCTCCTCACGAGACTCGAGAAGGGCTTAAATCAGCAGTCAAAAATTAATATTTGATCTCTTATTGTTCTTGGATGAAGTCAGTTTCTTCTATTCACACCAAGATGTCCCGTTTGTTCGTCTTCAGGTGCACAGGATCTGGTCCTTTATCCTTTTATTTAATAAAACCAGCAGTGTTATTATTTACGAATGTATTTTCCGTTTCTCCTCGATGTCAAACGGTTACAAGGGATGGCAGTTTGATTCTCTCGGCGTAATTGGCAACGGTATTATTGGTTTGTTTGATCAAAAAACGCGTTTGGAAATGAAATAATAGACCATAAAAGACAATGACACCTATTTGAAACAGCACCTTCAAAAACAATCCACGAAACACTTAAAGGTGAGTCTGAAGAATCGCATGGGCACTTGAATCTCTCAGAGAGAAGGCGACTGAGGAGACGGCAAAACCAGAGCGGCCCTTTACGCGCGCTGATCAGATGAATGTAATGGAATTACATTCACGAATTGATCGCCTAAATCTGTTCAGACCATCGTTCTCGTCGGTATTGAACACCCAGAATGTATCAATGAGACGCGAGTCGGTGTCTACGGGAGCTGCGGCTGCTGCTGCTGTCGCTCTGTGCGCGCGGACGGACTGTCTGATGCGTCCGCGTGAAGCCGTTCGGTGTTTTATCTGGCTCGGTAACGTCATTTGGAGCTCAACCCTCCCCCTCAGTCCCGCTTAAGGAAAACAGAGAATGGAACGCTCACGTACGCTGCACACTACACACTGTATACTACATACTACGCAGCAAGTGCGCTTCTAGATCACTGGAGCTCTGCGCGAGATCAGATATGAAAGATTTTATCACAGTGAGAATGCATTATGCAATTCATTGCAGTTTGGTTGCATTACGAAAACAATAATTACAAAAATAAATCAGCACAAATTAACGGCAGTAAAATCGACTGTGGTGTATAAATACATATGTTTCTAACATAAAATGTACTTGTCTTTACATTACATTATATTTACATTTTATCATTTAGCAGACGCTTTTATCCAAAGCGACTTACAAATGAGGACAATGGAAGCAATCAAAATCAACAAAAGAGCAATGATACACAAGTGCTATTTATTTATAGCATCTATGTATTTTATATATATATACATAAGTATTGGAACAGTAAAGACAAAATTGCTCTGTTTGCTGTGCAGTCAAGAAATCTGTAAATATGTTTAAAAGATGAATATGAGACAAAACGACAAATTGTCACATTTTATTATTGGGTGTTTCAATACATATGTTTTTCCAACTAAGAAGATCAACACTTTTAGAGTTTCATCCCCCTATCTGATGTGAGCATAAGTATTGGGACAATTGCCTCACAGGTCTTTCTGAGTGATCAGCTGTGTCTTGTTGCATTAATTGTTCAGATATTAAAAGCAGGGAATGTGTCTCATCAGTTATATCCATTGCTTCTGCATTCTGAGTCTTGCATTCGGTGACGACACACAAACGAGGATGAAGACGAGGGAGCTGACTTCGAGAGAAAAAAAGCTATTTGGATGCTAAAAGAAAAGTGGAACTCATTTAGAACTATAGCAAAAACAAAGGGCATGAAGAAATCAAGAGACCACCGGTGACATCAGCAACCAACAACGACCTGATCTGCTGAGAAAAACAACTGCAGTTGATGACAGACAAATCACAAAAGCTGTGAAAATGAACCCTAAAATACATGTCTGTAAAATCACCAACAACCTCCAGAAAGCTGGGGTGTCCGCAGGAGATTTTGACATAGAATTACAGATGCTACAGCAAGATGCAAACCTCTGACAAGCACCAAAAATAGAAAGGCAAGATTCAAGTTTGCAAAAAAGCACAAAGGTGAGCCACTAGAGTTTTGGAACAGAGTTTTATGGACAGATGAGACAAAGATGAACCTTTATCTAAGTGATGGGAAAGCAAAAGTGTGGAGAAAAAGGGAACTGCAAATGATCCTAAGCATACAGCCTCATCTGTAAAGCATGGTGGAGGTGGTGTCATGGCATGAGCATGCATGGCTGTCTCTGGAACAGGCCCTCTCAATTTTAATGATGACTTAATGTATGATGACAGTAGCAGAATGAATGCAGAAGTGTACAGAAACATCTTCAATGTTCAAGAAAATGCCACCAGATTCATTGGGAAGCGCTTCATATAGCATCAGGACAATGACCCAAAACACCCTGCCAGTTCAGTCAAGGAGTTTATCAGGGCAATGATAAATGGAAAGTCTTAGATTGCCCAAGTCCATCTCCAGATTTAAACCAGATTGAACATGAATTTCACCAGCTGAAGAGAAGACTTAAGGCAGAAACTCCCCAAAACAAGCAACAGTTGGAATTGGCTGCATTACAGGCTTCTGTAACTAGGGATCTGTAACTAAATAATAGCTTTTAATCTTTTTTTTTAATCTGCCTTATGCAATACTAGTCAAATACATTAACACCTATGTATACACACACATACATACATACATACATACATACATACATATGTGTGTGCATGTATATTATATTAGTAAATAAATAAATAAATAATTAGTTTATAGTTTTTCTTTCGATTTTGAGGTGAAATTTGATATGGACACATTCTTGACAATTGTCATGAGAACCACACATTAATAAAAAATAAATAAATAAATAAATAAATAATAATAATAATAAAATAAAAAGTGAATTAAGTTAATTAGATAACAGATAAAATACTACTACTACTACTAATAATAATAATAAAAAAAGATAACAACTTGCTTTCAAAATCTTAAGTGAAAAGATTTTGGGGGATGGGGCCTAAAGACCATGACCCACTGACATCAAAAAGAAAATATACAATTAATTAATAAATGAAAACTTCAGAGGAGAGTAAAGGCAGAAACTCCCCAAAACAAGCAACAGTTGGAATTGGCTGCATTACAGGCTTCTGTAACTAGGGATCTGTAACTAAATAATAGCTTTTAATCTTTTTTTTTAATCTGCCTTATGCAATACTAGTCAAAATACTTATGCTCACATCAGATAGTGGGATGAACTCGAAAAGTGTCCTTTATATTTGGTAAAACATGCATGTGTTGAAACAGCTAATAATAAAATGTGACATTCTGTAGTTTTGTCTCATATTCATATTTTAATCATATTTGCGAATGTCTTGACTCCACAGCAAGCAGAGCAGATAAATGAAAACTTTTTTTTTTTAAGTTATATTTATTAGCTTTTTGTGCCTTTTATTTTGAGAGTACAGTGGAGAGATGACAGAAAAGTATTGGGGTGGAGAGAGGGCGGGATTCGAACTCGGGTCGCTGTATGCAAACCTTTTTTAACATTGCTTTTCTCAAACATGTTTATCCATAAACATTTAATATAATTTAATTAAAAAAGGAAATACTAATATAAATAATATAAATATAATTTTTTTTTTAGATAAAAATATATATTTTTAAATTGAATACAATTTTTCGATTGTCAATTATTTTGAGACTATAGAAAAACTGTTACTAGCAGTAGAAGTGGGCAGTGAGTACTAGCAGCACATGCGTGAACGCTGTCAGTAGGTGTAGTATGGTATGTAGTAAACATACCCACATGTTATGAAGTGCCGTGAGGACTATTAGTCATCAAGCACGTGCGTCGCTTTTTTTGCATTACAAAATACATAAACCTCCCTCTGACCACAGGAGATGCTGTCTGGAAAATTACAAACTTACACGAGGCGCTGCTGAGGATTTTCCATTGATTTGACACGCTCTGCCAAGTGGTGAACTAGAAATAAAAATAAACATTTATATACAGAATTATAATTATATTTTATACACACAGACTCATCAATCAATCAGTTTCATTTCTTTTACCATGGTAATTATAGTTTACATAATTTAACAGTTACTAGTTATTGTTACTACAGGAAAACTATGGTAATTTGGTATTTGTAATTAGTAATTAGATTTTTAAAACACTGTCTGAATGAGATCCATATTATTTTATGATGGATTAACAGTAGTAACAATACCTGTAGTAAATCAGTATGCTGTTTTGGTAGAAACTGGCTTCCATGGAAATATTTGTAAAGGTTAATTCTATCAAAGTCAGCAGCAGGTAGAGTGCAGTGGTAGTTTGTCTGTGTTGTTTGTCCTGAGGCTGTAAAAGGTGGGAACAGTTTGTCCTTGTGGGATGACAAAATTATACCGAGGCCAGATTTGTCCGATAATAACCCTACAATTTTTACAAGCACTTTTTTGGACAGATTTCAAGATTCTTGAATCCCAAATTCTTAGAAAACCACACATGTACACATGAAAAGTACCCATAGATTCAGTGAGTCATACTACAAAAATCTCTGGATCATATTGACCCTAAAACTTTTGCAAATTACAGTGGGATGTTCTGCGGACTGTATGTGGCTGTTCGAGGAACCCTGAGATGGTTCAAGGAAAGCCCACATCTTATCTCTACGATGAGTGAATTGCGGTCATAGGGGACCACAATTCACTATCCTATTTTTTTTTCCTCATAACTGAGCCAACAGTTTGGCTCCAGAGCATATGGGTGATGGGGAAACATGCAACTTTCTGTTCATGATGCAAAGCAAACATATGTTTCATGTTTATATTCCCTGTGTCTTTATGTTACAGATTTAACCCTGCATGAAGCAACCTGTGACATATTATTGAAATCTCAAAGCTAATAACTCAAACTAGTCCATTCCATGAAATCACTATGCAACCCAGTAGATTTGTATTAGTGTTACACAATATAACAGACTGCAGCAACATGTCAAAATGTAAAGCAAATAGAATGAAAGTTGCTCAACATTCCTTAAAAAGCTTCTGCTTTAAGTGCTTTAATGTACAGTCTGTTTATTTAACCACTTAAGCTCGGGGCGTTTTTTGGTATTTTCGCCTATCCATAATGTACTGTACTTTTCTGTCAATAAACAGTGTATCATAATGCTAGCTGCGCTATCAATTTTCCGAACAATGCTTACAGTATCAAAAACACGCAAACACACGCTCATATATCCGCAGAGTTTAACTGGTTTTAATATGATGTGTCATCATCACAGTAAGCTAAAATGCTAACAGTATATTGTAACTTTAAATCAGGGAATTCGAGAAATGGAGAAGTGAAATAAAGAAGCCCTGGTCAGCAGTATAATTTACAGTTTTCATGTTGACTCATGGGTCAGGTGAAACGCAAGCACCATATATGTCAAAATTAGACAGCATTGATCTCAGTAACCTTTAAAATACCTTCTTCCTGACAAGTTATTATATACGTCATTGTATGTTCAAATACGTTTTACCATACTAGGCTGTTCATTTATTTGGCCACAATATTTAAGTACATTAACTAATTGTTGGCTGTACAGTATATATACAAGCTTTTGCTTTATGTGCTTTAATGTATTGTTTGTTCATTTAAAAATTTCAGAAAAGGGTACAAAATGGGGAAGTCATGGCCTAATGGTTAGAGAGTCGGACTCGTAACCCAAAGGTTGCGGGTTCGAGTCTCGTACCAGCAGGGATTGTAGGTGGGGGGAGTGAATGTACAGTGCTCTCTCCCACCTTCAATACCACGACTGAGGTACCCTTGAGCAAGGCACCGAACCCCCAACTGCTCCCCGGGCGCCGCAGCAAAAAATGGCTGCCCACTGCTCCGGGTGTGTGT